AACTTAACGGCATAAAAAGTGTTCCCAACATAAAACATGTTAGTTCTAATGTTCCCTATAGTTTCTGATAATGATTTTTTTAATTAAATTGAAGCACCGAAATAGACAAAATAGTATTAAAAACGCGTGTTACAATGCGACCTATTGTAATACTCCTATCTTGCGGACACTCGTGGCTACGCTTCGCGTCGCCACTAGTGCCACAAGATAGTCGTATTACAATAGGTCGCATTGTAACACTTGTCTTTCAATATACTATTAAGAGGCTACTAGACGATTGCCTTTACAGAATGTATGTAGTAGTGCACATCTTGGTAAACATCTACTTCATGGAAAAATGTTTCAAATAATAGTTATTTGGTCTTTCATTTTCAACACATCGCGATTCTTAAGTATTTCCATTTCTTAAATATAATCACGCTGGTTTTTTTTGAAATTGTATGAAGAGTGTGATATAGTCAAATCCTAGTAATTTAAGAACACATAATTTTTATCTACTGCGGTTTCGTTTTGAAAAAATAAGAATAGATAACTGAAACGTCTTTTGTGGAGTAATTAAATACCAAATAGCTAGTACCACAGACAACGTTGTCTGTGGTTATACCTAGTTATAGTATATCGACAATATTATGTGTAATATTCGCTACTTTTGAGACGCTCTTAATATTAAAACAGAATCAACATATAATACCGTACACAAATAAAGTGATGTCTAAAGTTAAAAATATTTACATTATAAGATCAAGATGAAAATAGAAAAAGGAAGTAATTTTAACGCTCCCTTACCTACATAAAGATTTGAAGACACATAAAAAAATGTTCTTTAGTTGAAAAGGGTGACAAAGGAAATGAATAAAATTTATTTTAGACAAAACGAGTATGTTTAAATGACAATGAACAATGCATTTCATAGATGGCACTAAATTTGGATAAGTAATTAAGATAATATTATAATTAAAGGTAAATTTGAAAAGACCCCGATAACACAAATTGCACTTCATAAAGAAACAATAAGAGAAATATCGCAATGACATCCTTTCTATTATTTCTGGAAGATGAATAGGGTTTATTACAAGGTAAAAGTAATTAGTCCCGAAAAATCAGGTTTAAGTACGTGTGACCACAACTAATTAGAACTTTAACGCCTGTATAGTATCTTCATTCTTGAACGTTTGACAGAGTGGTATTTTAAAATTTATCTGAGCACGGGTTTTGATTTTGTGTATACTTTTTTTTTAATTTTAAAAAATTTTTATTTCTGGTGGTAGTGTTGTGGTGGTGTTCAGAAAAGGTAAGTTTCCAGTTTTCTTACAACCAGTTTTACGTTTCTTTGACCACATACGGCTATATGTTGATTATTGGTGACTGAGTAAAATTACACGTTATCTTTGCTACAACTATGGTAGTGAATGAATTTAAAAGTTTCTTTTTGATTTTCTTACTCTTATTTATTTTATAGTTTGAAGAGATACATGGAAAAATTCTGGCAATTTTTTAAGGGATTGTTAATAATCAAAACAGTAAAGCTTTTAAATATCTTGAAACGTTTTAGGAACAGGTCGATATTGATGACTTTTTTCTTTTAAATGTTTGTAATTATTAAGTACCTATATACTTCCTTTTTAATTTTTGTATAGCATACCTACTACTAAAGCAAAACTCTTAGCATTGTTAACTGCGCAACAAGGAAGATAGGACATCATTGGAAAGGCTTTCCTTCTCCGAATTTGGTGAGACTATAATTTTTTAGATTTGATATTTTCGAAATATTTTAAAAGTAAGTTGAGGGCGCGCTGTTGTTTATGTCATTGGAAGGATGTCGGACCGATCACTATGTAATAGAAGCTAATGCGATCGTGCGTCAAAATTATGCAGTTGCAAGTGGTATACAAAAGAGAAAACTTGTACCTGCAACGTCGAATGCGCTGGAATGAAACAACTAAACCAAAAAATTACATATCCGAATTCAGAGATGAGCGACCTTACCAACGATGCATCATTTAAGATTTTAAGGGTTGCACTGTCAGCGATGCGAGACAAAGACATTAGTGAGCAAGTTTTATTTTAGACACTGTTTCCTTCCATGATCAATTTGACGTGCCAAAGCGTTTTTTGAAAATTATTTTAATTTACATAAATAGCTATTTATCGTTTCTAATGCACCACCGTATATTATTTAGCTTCGAAGAAATAACACCAAAATCTCCCCATAAAAATTGTTATAATAATAAATGGGTAGATTTTGGTGTTATTTCTCCAAAGCTTCTTAAGCACCCCCTTGAGAGTCATGGATCTTCACAATTTCAGTATATTATTTAAGTAATAGCCATATAATTTATAGCAAGATCAATTTTTGGGACTCTTATTTCGTAAATGAATTGTACGTAGAGGTGCATGAATATCATAAACAGCAAGAATTGCGTTATTAAAAAAATTTAGCTTGGTATCAATATCTGATAGGTTACTGCTGTGTACGGTAGCCGTTAATGCCTAGAAATATACAGACTTTATAATATTTTACTGATATATTTGTTAACACAAAGATACAATGACTTCGTTGACATCGGCCATCTTGACTATTCTAAAACTACTCTCCTGCTAACAGTGTTGCCTAACTTACAGTAATACATTGCATTTCTCCCCTTTTTTTAATAAAAGTTACAAATCCAGCTTTTGAGGAGGTTTTACAATTCTTCCAGATCTAGTGGTTGATTGGGTTGCTGGAGTACCATGACTCACAGGATTATGAGTGACTACTGGATTGGTACTCGATTCTTGAATGTTACGAGAGAGACGTGGTACTTCTTCAACCTTTGGCTCATCTTGACTGTGATCAATAGGAAGTTGAACATTACTACGTTCTACACTAAGATTAGTAAAGTCATTAATTTCTGTAAGCGGAGGTTGTTCTTGTACACTATCATTTTTATCAAACTCACGCACTGATTGACACTTCCTGATATCATTTATGTGATACAATTTGATATTATCATCTATTTGAACAAGATATGTGCTATAACTCATGCATCGTACAATTTTTCCTTTTTCCCATTGTTTGTTATACTTATTTTTGACATAGACAATATCATTTTCTGAATATAATCTGATTTTATTTATAACGTCTTGTTGAAGAGGTTTTTGTTTTTTTGACCATGGTTTTAATAAGTCAAACCTTGTTCGAGGACGAATTTTAAAAATACATTCAGCAGGTGACAAACCTGTGCTGGTGTTAGGTGTATTTCTATGTACAAATAAAAAGTTTTCTAATTTATTCAACATCATTGCAATGGTAACTACCTGTTCTCCTCCTTTAAATAATGACCTTTGCAACCCTTTCTTTATAGTTTGAACTCCTTTTTCTCCAAGACCGTTACTTTCAGGGTGTTTTGGCGGAATTCTAATGAATCTAATTCCGTTTGAATGACAGAAAGAAGTAAAGTCATATGAATTGCCAAAAGGTGGACCATTGTCCGATACAAGTTCAACTGGTAACCCAAACACTGAAAAAATTTGTTTTAATTTTAGGATAGTTTCATGAATGTTTGTGCCACGATCCATAAGTTTAACTTCGCACCAACCTGATTTATCATCTACCAAAATCAAAAATGTCGCATTATTTGATTTAAAAAAATCGATATGTACCCTATAAAAATTATTAGGTGCTGTTGGCCACGGTAAAAGGACTGATTTGTCATTGGTAAAATTTTGAGTTGCTTGACATACGTCACATGATTTTATAAATTGCTCTACATCCTCATTGATGCCAGGCCACCAACAGTATGATCGAATAAGCATTTTTGTTCGTACAATTCCAATATGTTGTTCATGAAATAATTGAAGTATCTCTTTTTGTAGCGATTTTGGAATAACGACCTTGTTTCCTACCAATAAACATCCATTTTCTACAGAAAATTCTAATTTTCTCTTAAAGTAAGATTTAAGATTTTCATCTTTCAATGTGTTTGGCCATCCCGATAAAGTAAAATCTACAATTTTGGATAAGTTTATATCTTTTTTTGTAGCTATGGCTATATTTTCAAAAGTTATTGGAAGATCATATGACAAGCTAAAAGAAAATATTGCATCTGAGATCTCTGTTCGAGTATTCAACGGTAATCTCGATAACCCATCAGCGTTTGAAATATGACTACCTTTTTTATACTGTATGTCATAATTATATGCAGATAATGTAATAGCCCAACGAGTAATTCTCGCAGCTGCAGTAACAGGTATACTTTTATTTTTTCCAAAAATATACTGAAGTGGTTGATGATCTGTGACTAATGTAAAACGTCTACCATAAATGTACTTATGAAATTTTTTTAATGCAAAAATTAAAGCTAAACTTTCTCTCTCTAAATTGGAATATTTCTTTTCATTCTCTGATAACGTACTTGAGGCAAATAAAACTGGTTTATCAATATTATTAATTTTGTGACTAAGAACTGCTCCTACACCATATCCACTAGCATCACAAGTTATGTATATTGGCTCTGTAGGAACGTAATGAGTTAAAACATTATTAGCGATTAATAGATTTTTACTTTCTTGAAAGCACTGTTCGCATTTAGTTGACCAAATAAATTCTTGATTATCCCTACAAAGATCATACAGTGGTTTAAGTTTAGACGAAAGCATTGGTATAAATTTTCCATAAAAATTTAACAATCCTAAATAACTTTTTAATTGCGTCATATTTTGTGGTGAAGGTGCCTTTTGAATACACTCTATCTTTTCATTAGTGGGGTGCACTCCTAATCTGTCTAGTTTATGCCCTAGAAATTCTACAGATGTCTCAAATAATTGACATTTACTTTCGTTAACTTTAACATTATACCCCTTCAATCTATTTAACACATTTTCAACATTTTGATAGCATTCGTTCAAACTGGAACCATGTACCAAAATATCATCCAGATAACATTTAGTCTTTGGTAAACCTGATAATATTGCATCCATTATACACTGAAAAATTCCAGGAGCACTACTAACTCCATAAGTTAATCTATTAAATCTGAATAACCCAATATGAGTATTTATTGTAAAAAGTTCTTTTGATGACTCACTTATTTGCAATTGTTGATAAGCGCCTTTTAAATCTATAACACAATAAAATTCACTGCCGCTCAAGGTTGCAAATATATCACTAGGTAAAGGCAGAAAACAGTGGTCACTGTCAATCGCTAGATTTAATGTTTTCTTAAAATCAACACAAATTCTAATCTCAGAAGCATTCTTTTTAGGTACAACAACAATTGGACTTGCCCAATTGCTGTGTGAAACTTTAGACAAGACTCCAGAGTTAACCATACGTGATAATTCCTCCTCGACCTGAGGTTTCAATGCAAATGGCATTTCATAAGCTCTATGGAAAATAGGTTGATAATTTTCTTTAATTTTAAATTCAGCTTTGAAATTTTTTATGAAAGAATTAGGCTCTTCTTGAAAAAGACTATTATACTTCTGCTTTAAAGACGTAATCATCTTCAATTTGACGTTATTAGATTCAGAAATACTTACACTACCTAACTGAGGTAATTGATTCCCTACTGAAACTATATGGCTACCCAACATTGACACGCGCCACTTATTATTTAAAATATCTAACCAATTTCGCCCTAAAAGTGGTATAAATTTTATATCTGACCTTAATATGACCAATGGTAAATAATATACTTTCCCTAAGTACTTGACGTGCACATAAACTTGGCCTAATATCTTAGCCTTCTCACCAGTTAATACTCTTAATTTAAAATTTACAGGTGCTAATGCTAAATTATTGAAAAGTTGCTTCCAATCTAGCTCATGCATTACAGACCTGACTGCTCCAGAATCCACTTCCATTTCCACACTTTGTTCATCAATGCATACTTTTACCTTTAATATTCCTGTTTGATTTACTTTAAGTGTCCTAATTGAGCACTCTTCGGTTAACAACCCTAACTCGAAATCCTCATCAGACTGCGACCCGCATCCGACATCCTCTTCGTCTTCATCCACCTCATTAACTCTATTGTTCTTACACATTTGCGACTTCCCTGTGTGTCCCATTTGATTACATGAAAAACATTTCCAATTTATGGCTGGACATTTGTTCACATCAAAATGCATTCTGCAACATCTTTTGCATTTTGTTTGACTTCCTTTATCCGGACGTGACTTGCTCGAACCTTGACTACGGGAGGTGTTTTGACTGTGATTAGCTTTTTTTGGATAATTATGTGACTTTTGGTAAATTTTATTGACATGACTTGACTCACTACCCATGACTTTAACTTGACCTTCCGCGAGCTCCATGCTAATTGCTATTTTATACGCACCCTTAAAATCCAACTTACTTTCGGTGAGTAACTTATGTTTAATATTGTCAGCTTTAATTCCACACACAAACCTGTCGCGCATCGCATCATCTAAAAATGTTCCAAATTCACACGTTTTGGATAACTTCTTCAAGCGAGCTGTAAACGATGTGTTGATGGTATTAAATTGAATAAGAACTGCTATTAAACATCAATATGAACAACGTTTTTTATTGTATCAGTTTCTAATGACAAACTCTAAAATTATTTATATAGCAACAAACTACTACCTTAGATCAAACATAAATGAATTATTTAGTTTAAAGATTTTAGTACAACACTTCCCCTCAAACTTTAAACTTTCATTTATGTTACAATGAAAACATCCCCAATTTTTCTCTAAGATGTTGAAATTGAATTTTTGGAATTAGCTTAGTTAAAATATCCGCAACTTGATCTTCACTTGCAACATGCACTATGTTCATCTCCTTATTTTGAACTCGTTCCCGTACAAAATGCGCCCGCACATCAATATGTTTCGATCTCTTGTGGAAACTTGGGTTTCGAGCGAGTTTTATCGCGCTTATGCTATCTACACGAAGCGTTGGTACTTTTTCTAATGGTGCAATTTCCCCAAAAAGACGATTTAACCATACAATGTCTTTAGCTGCTTCGCTGGCAGCCACATATTCCGCCTCTGTGGTAGATAAGGAAACACTTTTCTGCTTCCTGCTTGCCCAGACGATAGCACCTCCACAAAATTTAAAAACCAGACCGCTGACAGACCGTCTTGTATGAGGGTCACTTGCAAAATCTGTGTCGCTGTATGACTCTAATTCGTTAACTTGAGTGTCAACTTCTTTGTAATAAATTCCCATTTCAGCTGTGCCCTTCAAGTATTTAATGATCCTTTTTACCATTGTCCAGTGCTGTTCCCTTGCTTCTTCCAGAAACTGTGAAACATAATTTACAGCAAACGTGATATCAGGACGAGTAGATACTGCTAAATACATTAAGCACCCTACTGCTTCTCGATAAGGGGCTTTTGTCAATTCAAATTTCATTTCTTCCCCTGTTAATTGACATCTTTCAATTGGCGTACTAACTGAATTTGCTTCTGTCATTTTAAATTTTTCAATTATGTCATCAACGTACCGTTTTTTTTGATTAATGAAAATTGTTCCATCGTTATGTTGATTAATTTGAATATTGAGAAAACATCCGACTGGCTCCGCTGTCATTTTGAATTCTTCTTCGAGTTTTCCAATGAATTTATTAATAGATTCTTTTGTTGTGGCAACAACCAATCCATCGTCCACATAAATAACGACTATCAGTTTTTCATTTTTGGAAATACGGTAAAATAAACATGAGTCAGCTGTACTCTCCTGTAAACCAAATGAAATTAAAACCTCCTTGAACCGTTCGTTCCAGCATCTTGGGGATTGTTTTAAACCATAAAGACTCCTCTGCAATTTACAAACACGCTTACTTCCATCTTCATAACCTTCAGGTTGATCCATGTAAATTTCTTCATCAATTTTTCCATATAAAAATGCAGTCTTGACGTCAAATTGAGCAATCTTCAATTTTTCTTTCGCTGCAATACTCAAAACTATCCGAATTGAATCAAGTAGTGCCACAGGACTAAATGTCTCATTATAATCAATACCTTCTCGCTGACTAAATCCTCTGACAACTAAACGTGCCTTAAACCGCGAAACATTCCCGTAAGAATCCCGTTTCACACGATATACCCAGCGATTAGAAATAGTTTTTCGCTTTTCCGGCAGTTCAACAATTTTCCACGTCGAATTTTCTTTCAATGATGCCATTTCTTCGTTCATGGCGGTAACCCAATTCTGCTTTTCTGCCGATTTTATGGCCTCGTTATAACTTTTTGGTTCAACAACTTCCGAAATCATTGCATATAACAATCTGTTTGGTGCTTTGAGATCGTTCCGATTTCTGAGATGTCGTTTTTCCAAGATTTCTTCCGATGCTTTACCCTCCAATTCCTTTTCTTGAGTTGGTGTGCTCGTCTCTTGATCGACAAAATCTTCTTCATGATCTTGCAAATTCCCTTGATCGATGAAATCTTCTCCTGGAAATGTTTCGGGACCTTGACTATCTGCGCTTCTTGTCTTCTCCGGAAATAATGCCAATAATTTTTCAGACTGTTCTGGTTCAAAAACAACGCATTTACTGCGAACGATGCGATTTTCCGATTTATACCAAATACGAAAACCGTCAATATTGTCAGAATATCCGACAAAAATTCCTCGTTTGCCTTTTGGGTCCCATTTATTTCTCTTTTCTTTCGGTACGTGCACGAAACAATCTGTGCCAAAAACATAGAAACGATTTAAATTCACCTTCTTCCCCGTGAAAAGTTCGTAAGGAGATTTGTTTTCAACTCCGCTTGGTCCACTGCGATTCAAAATGTAAACAGCAGTATTGACCGCTTCCGCCCACAAATATTTTGGCAATTTTTTTAGCCAAAAGCATTGTTCGAGCCAAATCAACCACTGTTCTGTTTGTTCGTTCAGCGCATCCATTTTGTTCATGCGTATAAGGATTTGACACCGCCAAATTCACCCCGTCCAACTTCAATATTTTTCGAACCTCGCTGTTGTCGAATTCTTTTCCTCCATCACACTGCAGGGTTTTCATCGATCTACCAAGTTGAGTTTTTATGATTTGTAACACCTCTACAATTTTTCCAGCAGTTTCTGATTTTTCCTTGAGGAAATAAACAAATCGCATTCTTGAATAATCACAAGTAAAACACGCAAAATATTTAGCACCACCCAACGAAGTGCATTCCATTGGTCCGCACAAATCAACATGTAGAACTGTTCCAGTCGTCGTAGCACGCTGATTTCGTGATTCAAAAGTACTCCGGTGTTGTTTTCCTTCCACGCAAGCTCCGCAAAATGTTTCGTCCTCGATAAAGTCGATTTTCTGGTTTTTCAAAATTTTCTTGACATGTTGTTTGTTCTGATGTCCAAATTTTTCATGCCAATTTTGAAGTGTAATTTTCGTCGTTAGATTGGCCTCATTTACATAATCTTTTGGAAATGTTATTTGGATCACCATCCTGAATAATTGACCCATTCGAACTCCGTATGCTTTTACAACTCCATCCCGAGTGAATTCACATCTTTCGCTGGAAGATCTGAACTTCATGCCCTTGTCCAACGCAGCCGTGACCGAAAAAAGATTTCTTCGTGCCCCTGGCACAAAAAGAACATTTTCCATGTGACATTCTATTTTCTTTCTGTCGACATAAGCCTGAAATTTTATACTTCCTTTTCCGAGAGCGTCCATTGTTGATTTGTCGCCGACATAAATTTTTAAGGGAACTGCAAACTGCTCATAAGACAAAAACCACTCACGATGACGAGTTATGTGATCTGTAGCTCCGGAATCAACAATCCAAACATCGCCATCTTCCGCGCTGAGAGCCTCACATACGAACGCCTCGTCTTTCGATTTTTCTTCACTGTCTTCTTTTCCCTTTTTGCAATTTTTCCGGATGTGCCCCCCACGTCCGCACCGGTAGCATTTAATTTTATTAAAATTATTGCCACCATTATTGGCATATTTCTTTTTTATGTAGGCCTTACTAGAAAAAAGTGCGACTAACTCCTCCTGTTTTCCTGTTTTCTGCTGCCGACGTTTTTCTTCCGATGTCAACACTTCAACCAAATTCGCAAATGTTTGCTGTTGTTCAGATCTCGCCCACCAAGCTTGTTGAAGGCCCTCGTAGTCATCTGAGAGAGAATCGAGCATCTTTACTACGAGTGAAGACTCGTCCGGTTTCACATTCAGCTGCTGCATGCGCAGAACCAGCTCCTCATATCGAGCAATGTGAGTCACCATATTTTCAACAGGATTTTTACTAAAATTGAAAAATTCAGTTTGAACAGTATGCGCAGCTTGTTAGTTTGTTGCTCAAAAATAGAATGCAATTTGAGCCAAATTTCCCGTGCCGTTTCACATGAAACCAACAACGCCATAACCTTTGATTCTAGAGATTTAATAATTATCTGACTTGCTGCGCGATCTCCCCTGTCCCAAGCCTTGAATTTTGCATCGTATTCTGCCTGATTAAAGTCCTTATCTTCAATAGCTAATTGCTCTGGCTTCAGTATTTCCCCAATGCAAACTTCATACGCGTCCACTTTTCCTCGTAATAAATTTCTTATAGCAAATTTCCAAATACTCCAATTTTCAATACCCCGTAGTTTTTCTATTCCTTGAATTTCCATTTTTCGTGTCGTCTCTTGTCAAAAAAAAATTGATTCCGATTTTATCGATCCACTGCGCTATCTATTCCACGCTAGCAACCAAGAATGACGTACCAACGAATATTTAGAAAGAACCACGCTCTGCTACCATGTTGATGGTATTAAATTGAATAAGAACTGCTATTAAACATCAATATGAACAACGTTTTTTATTGTATCAGTTTCTAATGACAAACTCTAAAATTATTTATATAGCAACAAACTACTACCTTAGATCAAACATAAATGAATTATTTAGTTTAAAGATTTTAGTACAACACGATGTAATCGATTCATTGCTCTCCTGCACCGCTGTATTAAATTTGAACCGTTCTGATATAACCAACCGTTTCGTACAGTAGTGGTCTTTTAACACTTCCACTAACTCAGAATATTCCTTTGCACTCGGTAAATCAGGTGCGACCAGATCCTTTAGAATGTTGTAACCTTCTCCCCCAATAAAGGTGATTCAAAATGAAACTTTCTTTGCTACATTGACTCCATTACATGTAAACAGTTGCTCTAACCGTTCAATCCACGATGTGATGTCACCGACTTTAGCATTAAAAGGTTCAATACTACCCATTAGTGCCATTTTGTTAATAATAATTTTGACTTTTGACTTGACTTTATACTTTATACGTTAAAATAGACTTTCATGACTCACGTGCATTATGCCAGACGCCACTCAATTGCACATTTCCTTTACTTTTTCAATGAGTTCGTTTCCGTTTTCGTCGCCAAAATATATGCTGTGTACGGTAGCCGTTAATGCCTAGAAATATACAGACTTTATAAT